AATATATTATATTTTTTAAAGCTCTGAGCTAACTCGATCTAAATATAGGCATAGGTAAGCTATATCTAAATCAAGGTATCCAAAGCGGCATCTAGTGTAGTTGCAATAAGTGCTATATTGCAACAAAAATGTTATAGTCTGATGTGCTGTCGCCTGTACTCTAGTAATTCCCATGTGGTCGCCCACACGCAACATTGACGTCTCTGAATATGTAACAATTGGAGTTTTCTTAAAATAGTATATTCTGTATGTTGACTTATTAGATTACATTATGATGATACGAATGCAAAGAACGAGTTATTATTAGATAAAAACATCAGTGCTTTTATGTAATTTAATACTTAGAAATAGAAAATATCAAATGTTAATATGATAACTGAAAAAACTTATTGTAGTTTTTTCAACGCAAGGTAACGGGACTATTCCCAACGGCAACGCAAGGTAAGTCAAATGTGTATGAATAATTTGTACACTAAAATATTTGTAATTGTTGAAACAGATTCAGCCTACTAGGTACTAAACTTTTAAGCCATACCTCCACCTAATTTGTTGGTGATTTCTTGGTCTCAAATTCTAGAAGTGACGTCTCCCAACAATGAAATGTAACTAATTTCACTGCAAATGAACAATAATAGAAGGTTACGTGGGAAGTTCCCCAAGATATTATTGTATGTGTGTCATCCTCCCAAAATAACTAAAAGCCCCAGAATAAAAGCATTAACCTACATCTTGGGTGTTCTAGGGGTCTTCCATATATAAAACCAGCCGAAACCTCCAGTGTGTTTCTAAAATAGGCCTTGTAGCTTAAGTAAGCTTTAACTTTGTTCTATTTTCAGATTTAGACTGGAGATGGACTGAATTAAATTAATCACAAGAAACGTCCTCTAAATAGTAAAAATGAAGTAATTCATTAACTTAAAATTAGCTACAGATTATGTAAAGTTTAGTTTTCCTTACCTTTTATCTAAATATAGCAATGAAAATGAAATAAATAAATTATTTTATTTTATTTATTTTATTTTACAATTTTTTGGAAAACTTACAGCTAAATGTTACTTTAGGTGATTTTTATGATTAAAGTAAGGCCAATTAAAATAAATAAAAAATATTTTCAGACATTTTACACTACGCTTCTAGTCTAGTGGGTACTACCTCCTAAACAACGGATATAAACATACTTAAATATATTTTTTTGTAAATATATATGTTACGGTTAATGTGATAAATTGAAAATTATTAATAATAACCGGTTATTATGAATAATTACCTACAGTCTCGGTAAAAGTGATAAATTAATCACATTTAACAGCGATTATTTCATAATTCAACCTTAGTACTAACAAATTTCATAAAAGAGAACAATATCTTATGTACGTGCTTGAGTACAGCCAAACTTTTGAACGTTTTGATATCATATATTAATATAATTTGGCATAATGAGTTTGGAATGTTTCTTGCATAATATTACTTTTCCATGATGCCTATAACATAATGTTTTGATTTAAAGTGAAAAATAGGTTAAGGTGCGGCGGGGGTGGCCCTAGGGGCACCCCTAAGCCGCCTATTTAGTTTTATACACACATAAATGACCTCATATTAATCACATTTACCAAATCATGTGGTGATTATTCATAATAACCGGCGATTATTCATAATTTTCACATTTATCACTTTGACCGTAACATATAGATACATAACATATTAACACCCAGACCCGTCACAGAAATTAAAATTCATCATTTCAATTTCTGCCCGGCCGGCAATCGAACCCGGACCTCTCGGCATAGTAGTCCGAACCACTACACCAAACGGCCGACTAATTAATAAATAATTCGAAGTTAAAGTTTTATTTAAATAAATAAAAAACGTGGCAGCATCTTGCTTTAACTATATCAAACGTCAAAATTATGTCAAACTCCATAGAAAATCCAACTCAGCTGTAGTAAAGTTATCAGTGTGCCTACCATGAGTTTACGTTAGGTGAGCTCGCTAGCGAATACGTCAAAAAATTCTATGAAGATTTTATTTCTTGAAAGTAGCCGCTAGGGGCGCTGCACAATATGTCATACATTTAAATGTCATTTTTTTACGCAGTCGCTAGCGAGCACACCTAAAGGTTCGGANTGATCTGAAGAAGCAAGAACTGAGAAAAGGAAGCGAATAATAAACGCGAGAAGTCTCAGCAAGTGAAATAGTGGTTTTATTCCTGCAAGTAGCACCTACTACGCCTGACATAGTAAGGGCAAGCTCTCAACGGCAGTCATCATCGTCCGGTCAGCGCTCTCGAACACACACAAACGCATACAGTCCACTGCAGTCCACCACAGTCGTAGAACAAAAATTTTTGCACTGTGTATTAAGGATTTTTTAGCCCTATAAATCTGCATTCACAGCTAAAAATCGAAATGATCCTCATTGGAGCTTTCTTAAAATAGTATATTCTGTATGTTGACTTATTAGATTACATTATGATGATACAAATGCAAAGAACGAGTTATTATTAGATAAAAACATCAGTGCTTTTATGTAATTTAATACTTAGAAATAGAAAATATCAAATGTTAATATGATAACTGAAAAAACTTATTGTAGTTTTTTCAACGCAAGGTAACGGGACTATTCCCAACGGCAACGCAAGGTAAGTCAAATGTGTATGAATAATTTGTACACTAAAATATTTGTAATTGTTGAAACAGATTCAGCCTACTAGGTACTAAACTTTTAAGCCATACCTCCACCTAATTTGTTGGTGATTTCTTGTTCTCAAATTCTAGAAGTGACGTCTCCCAACAATGAAATGTAACTAATTTCACTGCAAATGAACAATAATAGAAGGTTACGTGGGAAGTTCCCCAAGATATTATTGTATGTGTGTCATCCTCCCAAAATAACTAAAAGCCCCAGAATAAAAGCATTAACCTACATCTTGGGTATTCTAGGGGTCTTCCATATATAAAACCAGCCGAAACCTCCAGTGTGTTTCTAAAATAGGACTTGTAGCTTAAATAAGCTTTAACTTTGTTCTATTTTCAGATTTAGACTGGAGATATATGGACTGAATTAAATTAATCACAAGAAACGTCCTCTAAATAGTAAAAATGAAGTAATTCATTAACTTAAAATTAGCTACAGATTATGTAAAGTTTAGTTTTCCTTACCTTTTATCTAAATATAGCAATGAAAATGAAATAAATAAATTATTTTATTTTATTTATTTTATTTTACAATTTTTTGGAAAACTTACAGCTAAATGTTACTTTAGGTGATTTTTATGATTAAAGTAAGGCCAATTAAAATAAATAAACAACATTTTCAGACATTTTACACTACGCTTCTAGTCTAGTGGGTACTACCTCCTAAACAACGGATATAAACATACTTAAATATATTTTTTTGTAAATATATAGATACATAACATATTAACACCCAGACCCGTCACAGAAATTAAAATTCATCATTTCAATTTCTGCCCGGCCGGCAATCGAACCCGGACCTCTCGGCATAGTAGTCCGAACCACTACACCAAACGGCCGACTAATTAATAAATAATTCGAAGTTATTTAAATAAATAAAAAACGTGGCAGCATCTTACTTTAACTATATCAAACGTCAAAATTATGTCAAACTCCATAGAAAATCCAACTCAGCTGTAGTAAAGTTATCAGTGTGCCTACCATGAGTTTACGTTAGGTGAGCTCGCTAGCGAATACGTCAAAAAATTCTATGAAGATTTTATTTCTTGAAAGTAGCCGCTAGGGGCGCTGCACAATATGTCATACATTTAAATGACATTTTTTTACGCAGTCGCTAGCGAGCACACCTAACGTAAACTCATGGTAGGCACACAGTAACGTAAGAAAATCATCGACACTTATGTGCTGTAGGGGCTTTGATTAGTCAAAGTGCAGTCCAATTCAATATCATTACAGCAGCAGCATACGTGTTGATTATTGATAAATGCTTGTGTGAGCGAAGTCGTGGTGATCTCTAGTGTATTTCTGAGAACTGTCACTTGTATTATTATTATTATTCTGTTGAATGGCTTCAATGGTGCGTATTTGAAGCACACTGGTTTCGCCAATGTCGCGTGTTTAACGAGACACGGTGGAGAGTGGAATTTGAACTGTCACTTGTAAGATATCCCAAAATGTCGTGTCACGAGAGTTACACGGTGCGTAACCTGCCACAATTGACCAGGAGTTCAAGCACCGATCAACTTCGGTGACAATTGCTTATGTCTAGACGTTTGTTACAAATTAACAACTTCCATTTCAATACGAGAAGTGTCTTTGAGATATTGAACTCCCAATTGTAACTCGTTTATTGTTTCATCTTCGATTTGTTTGTTGCTTATTGGTGACATGTGTAGGTTCTTACGACCGGTTGATAACCTCAAAGCTTTGGTAATATCTGCGAAATTAATAATACTAAGGCTGAGTTGCACCATCTTACTTTTACTTTGATAAACGTCAAAAGGCTATCAAACTACATACAAAAAGCACCGGTTATCGTTAATATTACGGTTAAAATATAATGAGCACCTTACATAGATTGTTCTAAAAATATTCAAAGCATTATGTTACATTTTAACAGCGTGCATAAGAAACAGTGTCAATTTTTATTTTTATTTCTTAAGCTAGCTTGACACAGGCAATTTGTTCTTGGTTATCAGAGACATGAAATGTTATGCCATGGCCTGGTGTGGTGTTATTTTAACTTTTCATGACAAATTGTAATTCATTAGCTTTTATGTTTTTAGGTGTTACAGCATATTATTATTCTGTGGTTACAGTAACAGTTGTGTCGAAATGGGTTAAGTTTATATTATGAGTAATTAATGTTATACCTATCAATAGACTTAGGCCTATCCGAATAGAGGTATCAGAGAGGTAGTGTTGAAATAAAAATATGTTTATTCAAAGAGTCGAATAAGGTTTAATCGTTCATAACAATGTTTATTCTGACATAATGATTATTATCATTTAGTGTAGTTATTTTATTCACTTCTTCTTCAAAAAGAATGAGGAGCCGCTTGAGTAATAAGCTGGGGCAGAGTAGGCGACTTGAGCGGCAACTGGAGCAGAGTAGGCGACGGCGGGGGCGGCAACTGGGCCAGAGTAGGCGACTTGGGCGGCAACTGGAGCAGAGTAGGCAACTGGCGCGGCCACCGAAGCAGAATAGTGGACGGGGGCGGCAACTGAAGCAGAGTAGTGGACGGGGGCAGCAACTGAAGCAGAGTAGTGGACGGGGGCGGCAACTGAGGCGGAGTAGACTGGAGCAGAGTACGCTACGGGGGCGCTGTATGATGGGTAGCTCACGGCAGCCACTGCAGGAGCCGAGTAGGCGACGACCGGCTGGATCACGCTCGGTTTGGGTGCGGCGGCTGCCAACCCGAGGACGAGAGCAAGACAGAACTGAAAACAAAATATTAAGCATTATTACGGATTATGTTCATATTGAAAAATACACACATGATCTTTTCTTAGCTTTTAAGTTAATTATTTGTATTAGGCGTGTGGCTCAACACAATTATCTATCTATTGCTCGATGAGGATTGCACAACTGTCCTTTCGAATTTAAAGTATTATACCTACTACCCTGTATAGTAACCTGTATAAGAGGGAAGAAAGGCAAATTATACCAAAGCGAAAAAAAATTAAACATAGTAGGTACTTTATAATCAATAAATAGTTTATTTAAGAGTATAGTTTAAGGGTGACTTACCAGCTTGAACATTTTGGTAGACGGTTGAAGACCAAGTGATGATGTGCTCATCTTCATTTCAGATTTTATACGTTCCTAAAACCGGACCTAATCTAAATCTATACGAGTGCAACATTTAGAAATTAACAGCCGAAACGTCACTGACTTAATTTCCAAAATTGTGTGGCAAATGGAATTATTAACAAAAAACATTAAAATTTTCGTTGCCATTTCAAGGTGAATCTCCAAAACTAGATCACTTTTCTGAATAAATAAATGAAATATCGCTTTACATTTTAGGAGAACGATAATGTCAAATCGACCATTTAGGTGTCGTTCCGCGAAATCAATGCATATGACTCAGATAATAATCTAATAAAAGCAAAGATTTAAGCCATTAAATATGCTTCTAAATCGTTTAACATTATCTTCTTTTTTTGTGGTAGGTAATAAATCGTCGAAGATGGAATAGCCAAAATACTCTAATTTCGGATAATAATTGCTAATTTTTTAAACAGGTACCTACCATGAGTAGAGTCTTTGAAGTACTAAATAAAATAATGCTAAAAATAAGTATAAAAGACGTTGATCTTGGAATTCCTGGAATAAATACCATTTATTACTTTACCCTCGAATTTGGGGTTTGAGTTCACTGTGTCAGTCTCTACCAATCATCCATTACAATCCAATCAATCCAAAAATTATACTTAACGTTCTTAGAATCATAGAATCTTCAGCCATATTTGGCAGCAATTGCAGGAATATCCGTAGTTAATGTTTTATACATCGTAAACTGCGCTCGCAACTGGGGCTAGGTCATGTCATAACCTCAGATACGATATTTTGGTGCTACGGTCACAAGCGTCCATATAAAGAGCCTTTGCATATTCATTAGCTGGAATATGATTCTCCCTGACACCTTTTTCAGTTCAGTAATAAAACGCTAACGGCTTTCGCCGAGCCTGCATATTAAACTACATGCAGCTTTTGACACCATACCTTTTATTTTGTTTAAATCAAAATTATCTTTATTTGTATAGATAAATTAAATTAGTACTTACAAATCGTTAAATGCTCTTAAGGAGCCTATACATGTCTCATTCTTTTTTTGCCCTACCATCGCTGACCTTTACTTTTTGGCATCAAATAAGCGTTTTTGCTTTCTTCCTTTGATCTCTTTTTAAAGAATAAGGCGCATAGTGTTTAGTGTACGCACCTGACATTTAACATCAATAAAAACGAGTTTGAAAAGATAAGCCAAATTAGCAGCTTAGCAACCAGTCCTATCTAGACTATCAGAAAAAAACAACAAAGTATCAATATAATCTCTTCTAAAAGCCACGTTTATACTTAAAGGGGTTCACGTTCCTTCATGGACTATTCTATAGGAAACAATAAATGTCCTTGTACACGCGCTCTACTTACTGAAAACATAACAAAAGTCGTCAAATGAAAATAAAATAAAACCGGCCAAGTGCGTGTCGTGCCATGCGCAGTGTAGGGTTCCGTGGTCGCCCATCGTTAACACAATATATTTCAGAAGTAAGGAAAATTTACTTCATTCATATAAAGGCACTTTTGATGTTTACTTCTAAAGAATTTTTATTGGGTAAGTTTGTAATACATCAGTTAAACAACTATTACTCTTAAACTACTTTAACTTTAACAAACGTCGAAAATCTGTGAAACTCCATATAAAAAGTAACGATTACCGTTATAGTTACGATTTAGGCTGTGAAACTCAGCCTAAGTAATCTATTTAGTTTTCCTTAAAAGTTCATAAAAAGCACGTGATCATGACTTTTTCCATATTTTTCAAGTCAATAGTTTAGTGTTTTTCGGTAGGGGGCGCCCTACTCGAACAAAAATAGCACGAAAATTGAAAGGTTCCTTGTCAGGACTACGGAACCTTGAAAACAAGACCGGAAGTTCCGGCCACAAAATAAGTGCAGCTAATTTTTGTTATTGGGAGCCTTGGGAGTTGCGGACGGCAGCGCTCGAAAGGGCATGACCCGCGCAACCGTGTCAAGGATTCGGCTTTAAATAGACGTTCAGTTTCAAACCAGCCCCGTGTTGCATTATTAGCCGATACCGAAATTGCCCTTGATGGCATTCGAATCTATTTCTGTAGGCCTTTTAAATGTAGTTCTAATTGAGGAACGGTGGGAAACTGTGTCACGTACCTTTTTAATCGTCTTTTTAACGTGGAAATCCAGAGCATCGGGTATAATTTTATCGAAGGACATGCCTAGTTTCGTCTAATAGTTTTTTTTAAGTACGAATAGTAAACGATTAGGAAATTCAGAATCCAAATGTTACCACTACGATTACAGCATATTATATTAGCACTACCATTATTTTTTGTACCAATTGTTACTTGATATTAATATTTTCTAAATAAAATTCAGAAAATATTGCTGCTCAGTCTCTGCTTTTAGTTATTGTCCTAATACTCGTATAACTATGTAGTTCACACGATGTTTAGTTATAAGTACATACTTATCGTGTGAAGTTACTTTTAAGTTGGTACCTGTGTTTGACGTCACCGATTGACTCCCTATTCGAACAACGTTATCCGAAGTTTCACATGTATCTATCCCACTAACGCAAAGCGAAAAGCCAGCATAAGTGACAGCGACAGATAGACCTGAAAATACGTGAACAGTGTTATGGAGTAGCACCGCAACCCACTGCATCCTGCATCCATTAATTACTGACTCTACTATGAAGTCAAATGACGATCGTTGATATTCTACTGTATATTTTGAATAGTCGTATGATATCGTCGGTGTTGACGGTAGAAAGCAAAAATATTCATAGTTTGTTTTTTATTTTTTCTTAGGGTTAGTTAAGGCTCAAGGTCCAATATAATGTTAATTTATAAATAATTTTTTTTGCATTGTTATATTTATTTTGTATACTACCTTTCTATAATATCCCCTTATTAAGGCTATGCTGCCATTATTTCAAATAACATCAAACAAATGGCTATTCATATCAGGGCAACACTTTAGATTTCTCAGAAAAATGCTATACATAATTAGGTGATTTATATCATAATAATAACTGACTACCCTCAGAAAATAATTCGCTTCCAGAAGCTTCCTCAAATGACCTCCTTCACGTTTGAATGGCTGATTGGCGTTGGTCTCGCAGAAGGTTCAGGAATCCAATTAAAGTTACAATTGGAGTCCATTCGGTGAAAGCTGCAATTTGCTATCCTCCAAGGATGCCGGCGACGTGAATAAATTATCAGTGAATTGAAAATTTAGTAGCTCAAGTGAAGCTGAAGTAGCTCAGATGGAAGAGCAGTCGCCCGGCAAGCGAAAGGGTGTTCGATTCCCATCTTAGGCAGTTCGATTTTTTTAAGTTATTTTAAAAATAATTGAAGATAAATGACAAATATACTCAAACTTCGTATTGTTAAAACCTTATAATAATAAACCTTACAACACCAATTGACATTCACATGATCAAAGTAAAGAAAATAAGCTTCTTCAATTTAGATGTAGCTAGGAAGCATTAGGAGTAGCATCCTTGAACGTTTCAAAATTATCTACGAAAAATCTATTTAAACTTTTTGCACTAAATTACCACTGTACATGGTGGACTTAATGCCGGGTAGCATTCTCTGCCAGTCAACACACAGAATATAATTTTGATGAAGTCAGTTCACCAATACATACAGTACTGATTTTATTCTTGTGTTGGAAATTACGTAAAATTAAAAGAAAAAGAAACTCCTTTTCGTGACCTCTTCAGTTACCTAACACGATATCGACCCTGGAACAGTCAAAACCACTCAGAGCGTCGTCGCAACTCGATACACTCTTCTCAGTTTCTGTTTGACCTTAGTCCACAAATAGAAGGAAAGGCCGGCCTCGCCGGTACCTCTGTGATCACTGTAGGTGCGACGGGTAATAACGTTAACTGGTCAAAAGTAAAATCACTAGTTCTAACTTTTACGGACATGTTTGTTTAACATAATTTTATAACTTAGTGATGGTTAGTTATAGCTATTTAAACCTAAGAAGATACCTTGTACAGTATATAGATTTGCGGCCACCTTAAATACCTACAATCTAATCTCTGCTAAATACGAGTACCTACTTACTTATGGTTTAATAAAACATAAAGGTTAGACCAGACCAACGCGTGCAGCCGGCGTGCACGATGACGATGGCGATGGCGACCAGACAGCGTGTATGAATTTGTAGCGATGTGTTCACATCAACGCGTCCTGTCATTGGTCGCGGCGATCTATGCAGCGTCTGCACGCAGCGATCAGCGATCATCGCGACATTTGTCACTGTGACGTTTCTGTTTTTTAAAATCGATGTAATAAATAGTAAGTAGGATCTGTTAAAAAGTTTTTACACAATTAAAAATTAATTAATCATAACATACCACTAGTCTGACCTACTTGAATAATAAAAAAGGTTTTAGAATAAAGTATCAATATTAGAATTTATTTTTATGTAATAAACAAATTATTCTAGTTTTCTCTAGAACCTGCTTCTTCAACTTCATAAATAAAATTGGGATATTATCTGCAGAACAAAATAATTGAGAATGTACCTACTACATGTCTGCAGCTTTCTCAAAGGCCCTAGAGCAATTCTAAGTATTCCATAAATAAAAACCTAATTACAGTCATCNCATCAAATCATATCGTGCCCGAGTTGTGATCAAAATATCACAGAATAAGATCAATCTATTGATTAACTTTATAATTAGGTGACATTTTTGCCAAAATAACGGGTCAAACGACTATTTAAGCTACTTTGGTCTCTTCGACTCTAAAATATTGGAAAAATATTGAAGTATTTCTTTTAGTTTATAATAAGAGTTCATGAAAGAATTTCTCACTTTTTTTAAATTATTTAGTAAGAAATATAGTTGATGTTTAATATTATAAATTGTTTTACTTGTATTAAATAAGATTAGCAAAAATAAACCCATATCATAATGGGGGACATATGTCACCCGCGCGAGCACTCTAGGAGTATTTAGGGGCGCGAGCACTCTAGTGTTAATGGTGGAAATCCAGAGCATCGGATTTTTTTTTTCCAAAGAACATGCCTTGTTTTAGTTTAATAGGTTTTTTTTAAGTACGACGAAT